AGCATAACAACCTCTGAGCTAGGAGCTCTGGATTCAAGCCCCTCTCCAGGATGTGTTAGTCAAGGAAGCTGCAACTTACAAATCCTTTTGTTTCACCCCAGTGGTAAGCAGGAAGCCAATAACAGAGGAGGTTCCCAATCTGCCGCCTAATTGAAAATAAAATGGAAAGCCTAACTCCAGGCTACGAAATGCACATAAAAACACTGCTACCACGACGACTACAAATATGAAATGCAGGGAACAGGAAGCACTGGAGAAATATTCAACGGATCATCTGTGGTGAGAAACATTTCAATCTCTTTCTGTATCCACCCCATAAAATGCTGCTGGTTAGAGTTTTGGGTCCTTACCTATGGGAAGATATACCGGCATTGGGGCAGAGCAGAGAAGATTCACTAGGTTGATGCCAGGGGATGAAGTGACTGTTTTATGAGGACAGGTTGAATAGATTGGGCTGTACTCATTGGAGTTAAGAAAGAGGCAAGCTGATTGAAACAAACAAGATTCTTAAGGGAAATGACAGAATAGATACAGGGAGGTTGTTTCCCCTTGTGGGAGAGTCTGGGACCAGAGGGAATCATCTCAAAATAAGGGGTTGCACTTTGAAGACAGGGATGAGGAGGAATTTCTTCTCTCAGAGGGTTAATTCCTTACCACAGAGGACTGTCGAGGTTGGGTTGTTAAATATATTCAAGGCAGAGGCAGACGGATTTTTATTCAGAAAGGGGAATGAAAGGTGGCAGTGAAAAGTGGATTTGAGGATGATGATCAAATTAACCACAATCTCATTGAACAGACTTGATGGACTGAATTGCCTACTTTTGCTCCTGTTATGGCCAGCTGAGGTTTCTCAGCAATTTTTCTTCAAGTTTCATTTGTGTGGCACTCCCTGTGTGAGTTGTTGGGGGAACCTGGTTTCATTGCCAAATCTGTATTCAGAAGCTTCCCCCACCCCCAGGAGTAACATTGAACGCTCCCAGTGTGTAAGAAAATGGCCTTCAATGGGACAGTGCCAGTACAGCACAACTGAGCGACAGTGAAAGTTTTACCTGTCAGCACACGCAACCCCCAACCCCCCCCCCGCCCCACCCACACACACACACACACACACACACACACACACACACACACACAAACCAAGCTTCAAAGGAGAAACAGAAACTAGCTCCTGACAAAATCCATGCCCGAAGCTTCTCAATAATCTGAGGCGTTACAATTGGACAGTGATTGAGGAGGTTCAAGAACACAGGGGGTTGGCCTGTGTCCACCACCAACATCAACTCGGGAACAAAACTTCCTGCAATCCTCCCTAGAGAGAGAGAGAGACAGAGGGAGGAAGACACAGAGACAGAGAAAGAGACAGAGGCAACAAGAGCAGAGGTAAGAACCATTTATTCCATATTCATCGTACTTCTACACTCCAGCATTATTCTACATCTCTATCCCCGGGTTTATTCTCTCTCTCTGTCTATGCCAGAGTTTATTCTCTTGGTCTCTCTCTCTCTATCTCTGGGTTTATTCTCTCTCTCTCTATCTTGGGGTTTATTCTCTGTGTTTCTCGCTGTCTCTCTCTGTCTCTATCTATCTATCCCAGGGTTTATTCTCACTTTATCTCTCTCTCGGTCTCTCTCTCTCTCTCCCTCTCTCTCTATCTCTGGGTTTATTCTCTCTCTCTCTTTATCCTGGGGTTTATTCTCTCTCTCTCTCTCACTATCTCTATCTATCTATCCCGGGGTTTATTCTCTCTCTCTCTCTCTCTCAGTCTCTCTATATTGGGGTTTATTCTCTCTTTCTCTATATATATATACATATCTATAACCCGTGGTTTAATCTCTCTCTCTCTCTCAGATACAGTGCCCGCAATGCCCACTGTCTCCAAGATGATTCCCACCGTTGTCCTGGTTCTGCTGTTGGTCTCAGGAGCTCTCAGTCCCGATCCCACAGACCCCGAACCAGGCTGTCACCGTTACCGTGAGTGAGGGAGAGGGCGAGGGAGGTAGTAAGAGGAAGGGAGTGAGAGGGAGGGAGACGGATGAGCGGATAAGGTGGGGGGAGAGGGAGAGTGAGAGAGCAAGGGGTGGGAGAGAAGGAGAGAGAGAGGAAGGGGAAGAGGGAGGGAGGGAGGGATAGAGAGAGAGGGAGAGGGTGGTGGATAGGAGAGGGGGTGAAGGATAGAGGAAGTGAGGGAGAGAAAGAGTGTGAGAGAGAGGGAGAAAGGTAGTGGCAGAGAGGAGAGAGTGAGTGAGAGAAAGAGAATGAGAGAGGGTCAGGGTCAGAGTGAGTGAGAGAGGGCATGAGAGAGAGGGGGAGTGAGCGAGACAGTGGAAAGAAAGAAGTGTGACAGAGGAGTGAAAGAAAAGGAGTGACAATGAAAAAGAGAGAGAAAGAGAGGGAGAGGGTAAAAGAGGAAGTTAGGGAGCGTGGGAGAGGATGAAAAGCAGTGCAAGTGAGAGAGCGAAAGAGATAGAGAGAGAGGTGGAGAGGGAGCCAGGGAGAGAGAATAAGGGGTGGGAGAGAGAGTAAGTGATGGAGAAGAGGGAGTGAAAGTGTAAGAGAAAGAGATGGATAGAGGGTGAGGGAGAAAGAGAAATGGAGAGAGACAAAGGGACACAGAGGGTGAGAGTGAGGGAGATGGGGAAAGAGGTAGTAGAGAGAGGGAATGTGGGAGTGGAGTGAGGGACAGGGAGTGAGAGAGAATAGGGGGAGGGAATAGAGAGAGGGAGTATGTGTGGTGGGCAGAGAGAAGGATTGTGGGGGTGTGGGTGGACCAGTAAGGGAGGGATGGACAGAGAGGGTAAGAAGGAGAGATAAAGAGATGGAGTAGGAGGAAGAGATGGAGGCAGAGTGAATGAATGAGGGAGGGAAGGTTTGAGGGATAGGCACTGGGAGAGGGAGTGTCAGTGAGAGGGAAGCATTTCTGTTGGTGAGCTAAGTGTGCACCGGGAACTATACACTTTCTCTATCTGAATCTCTCTCTTTGTCTGAATCCCTCTCTCTGCCTGACACTCTCTCCCTCTCTCTGACTGAATCTCTCTCTCCCTCTCTCTCTGACTGAATCTCTCTCTCTGCCTGAATATCTCTCTCCCTCTCTCTCTGACTGAATCTCTCTCTCCCTTTCTCTCTGACTAAATCTCTCTCTCTGCCTGA